AAAATACAGAATTGATGGGGTCAGGATTGAGGGTTCAACCATTCTTGATGAGGGATTTGCACTGAGAAAAATGTTGCTTCTTGGCCAGCACTGGCGTGCCGGAACCACCACTGGCCGCCTTATCAGTGCACAGTTCTGACTGAGAGAACATATGGTTCAATGAAAAGCGATCAACAGTATAAAAAAAACAACCCAACGAGATCCTAGTAACAGCTGTAATATTCCTGATTGTTAAGGATAGCATATATACAGACAAAAAAAAAATATATCTAAGAAGTAAAAGACCCATACTAAATAAAATTTAAAAAAATGGAGAAAAAAATTTAAGAATTTCCCTCTCTTTTTGAATGTTTACATGGCTTCTATCTTAATAGCTTTTATGACTTTGAAATGTATATTATAAACCCAATAAGCAGAGTTTATGTTTAGTCCCAATTTTCACTATTGTCAAACATACAAGTATCCTATTTAAGTATTACAAATAACATACTAATACGGTCATAGGAAACACATTACCTTAAAATATGGAGCAGTCTATTCAATATTTTTGGCTTAAAAGATGAAATTTGCTGTGTTCTGAAAGGTATCACAACTTTCCATGTGGAATCACACACAAAAAAGTAAAAATTTAAAACTTCAACTTTATTATTATATTAAATCCTAGTTTACCAGAACCAAACAACAGAATATAATTTTTACCTACACATTTGAATTTATACTTTCTTTCAGCAAAAGGAAATATAAGGAAGCACAATAAAGTCCGCAAACATTGAAACTAAGGCATTCTCTCGATTAGAAAGAGTTTGTTATTATTATGCCTCCTGAACTTAGGAATGCAGCACTACAGGTTTATGCCAATGAGAAAATCATTACTAAATACAAATCTAACCCTTACAAGTTTAAGATTCTTCCCTGATGAACCTGTATAGAGTCAGACTAATGAAGCTATTGCAAATGAACTCAGCATTCAGCATTGCAATCAAGATGTACTAATACTTTACTAATAGCGCTTGTGTAATAAGTCAAACTTATTTTAAATCTTCATATTGTTATTCTCCTACTGACCTTTCTGCTTTAATGTGAAACATTTGCCATTTATGATGGTAACTTTAGTATTCCTACCCATTCACGTCACCTGTCCCTAACTCCACCAAGGAACCAAAAACCAACATGTTCTCTTCTTAGTTCTCAGTCTGCAACCCAAAGGGAACAATTGAGAAACTCAGAAAAATACATTTCCATTTTCCTTATTTCCACACAGGAAAAAGGAATGCTTATGGTAACAGTAGCTCTTGGCATAACCCAGCAAAAGAAAATTACTTTTGGAAAAAATTTTTAAAAGACTAAGGTCAGCATCATTAATTGGTAGAATTCAAGGCAAGGCAGAATGGAAGTCTTCAGCATATTTTAATCTGCCCCTAAAATCAATAACTGATCATATATTCTCCTCTGCTTTGGCTTTTTAAAAGAACTATTAATTGTGAACTGAAATTTATTTATATTCACAGCTCTTTTTACCTCCTTCACTCCTGTCTGTGAGCACAAGGTGACTGTCCTCCACTTTTCAAGGCAAATTCTGCAGATTCGAAATTCCATCTCTTCCTGCTTCTTTAGGAATCCTATTCTATAACAGTTCTCTCTATTGGCTCCTTCCAATTAGTCATAAACATGCTCAGTATCTGCCACTTTTTCAAAAACAAAATATAAATCCTTAACCTCATTACGATTAGCAGGTATAATGTGGGGGGGAGGCACGGGGAGGGCTGTGCAACACAGAGAAGACAAGTAGTGATTCTACAGCATCTTACCACGCTGATGGACAGTGACTGTAATGGGGTTTGTGGGGGGGACTTGGTGATAGGGGGCGTCTAGTAACATAATGTTCCTCATGTAATTGTAGATTAATGAAACAAAAAAAATCCTTAACCTACCTTCCTTTCTTCTCTATTATTAACATCTTTCTTATTCAAGTTTCTTCAAGGACCACTCTATTGTCCAAATTGCTATGCTTCTTTATCTCTAATCATTTTTCAATTTACAGAAAACTGGCTTCTATAACTAAAACTACTCTGTGGAGGTCACTAATGATCACCTAATCTCAAACAAATAGGATACTTTTTGTCCTTATCTTAACCATTTAGCAACATTTGACTTTCAAAAAAAAATCTTTGGCTTCAGTGATATCATCATACCTTTTGATTCTACTCCTACCTCACCGACTTCTTGTCGTAAAAATAAATTTACTTTAACATTGGTTGAGCATTAACAATAAACCAAATATTGTGTTAAGAGCTGTCTGGACTTGAAACAACTCTACAAGGCAGTTACCATAGTTATCATTTTAAAAAGGGAAATGGTCTTGGACAGGTTAATTTATATAATGTCACACAAGGCTGGGCTGTCTAACTGCAAATCTCATTAGCTTTCCTACACTACCAGCAATTTTTTTAAAAAGTAGCAGACATGAAGCATGTCTTTTGTTAACTTTTTATTAGAAGAGATTATTTAGCTCTGTAGATTCATGTAGATTTTTAAAAGTCCATGAAAAACAAGTATTTTAGCTTTACAATTAAAAATTTTTTTTCAATACTCTTGTGTGATTCAGCAAAGACAAGGAGTGCTAAGAACTGGCATCAAGGTTTGTTTTTCAGGAAGCAATGTCAGTTCATGCAAGACTATCATAAACCTCCTGGAGTTCTTGGACACTGTCACCTTATCAACACGAAGAGAAAAGCCTTGCGCACGGAGTAATGCGTCTACAGGCCAGTAAACATCAACAGCTAGAGGAGGCATGGGAGGGTTTCTCCCTTACAGCCGTCTAAAAGAGCATAGCCTAGCCAACACCTTAACTTCCGACTTGTAGTCTCCAGAACTATGAGACAATAAAAGTCTGTTGTTTTTAGCAATCCCATCCCAACCCTTCCATCCCCATTTGTAATGGTTTGTTGATTACTGTGGGGAATCATGTGCTTGCAATTCGAATCAGTGCCTAAAGGTGGGCACATACTTAAGCAGAACTCTGATACTGCATGAAAACATCCCATCCACTCACCATTTTTCACCATTTTGTTTTTCATTATAGAGTGAATGTGACAGTCTCTCCCCATATTTTTCGCCAGTGGCTTTTATGTGTAGCCATGCGTTAGTATCACCTGAGGACCCTCTAAAAATCCTGATCCACATCCCACCCAGGCCAATTACATCAGTCTTTTGGGGTAAAACTTGGTTATCAGTGTTTTAAAGCTCCCTAGAAATTCCCATATGCAGCAGAGTTTGAGGGCTATTGCTTTACATGCAAATTTCAGTTAGCTACGTTAAATTAGGGTCTCTTCTTGTTAGATTAATAGAGTCACATATTAAACCCTTTTTTAAGACCTATGAACACTGTGATTTGTGCCCAGACATTGACTGTTGTAATGTGGTACACCATTGACAGGAAGAGTTTTTAATGCAACAAATCCAAATTCAAGGTGTCAGCTGCGCTATGCTCTCTGTGATGGCAAGGGAGGATCCTCGCAGGCCTCTTCTAGCTTTTGGTGTTTGCTGGCTTGTAGATGTATCACTCTAGGCATATGGTTATCTCTTCCAATGTCTTCATTCAGTCTTCCCTCTGTTCCTGAGTCTCTGGGTCCAAATTTCCACTTTCTATAAGAACACCGGTCATATTGGGTAATAGCCCATAATAATGACCTCATTTTAACCTGATTACCTCTATAAAGACCCTATTTCCAAATAAGGTCACATTCTGAGGTACTAGGGATTAGGACTTCAAGATTTATTTTTTAAGGGACACAATTTAAACCATAACAATAACCAAGAACTGTATGTCAGTAACACTGCTTCAAGGCAGGGGTTCTTAACTTGGGACAGGGAGACAATTTCATCTTTATTTTTTTACCAAGTGTCATGTAAATACATTATTCCCTACAATTATGAACACAGGCAACAAACTACATATAGCATAGAATTATAGGTTCTTGACAGTTTGCAGCCATAGAAACCACCAGTATTTTCATGCCACATTTCAGTGTTTATAGTTATCCTCAAAATGCCATTTATAGTCATCACTACTTTGCAATTACAGTTGTTGATAGACTTGATGTTAGATCTAGTTATTTAATGTATTAATAATAATGTATATATACAGTAATATATCATGATACAGTATTTTCATAACTGTATTTCAATAAAACTGATTTTAATTATATTTTATGCACTTAACATCTTTCTGAGCGAAGATCAAACTAAAAAAATCTTTCAATAACTTACAGCCCCAGTTAGCGAATTCTTCCATTTCAGAATAGAGGATTTTTTAATCTTAGTAAGGATCAAATATACAGAGCAGTATACATCATTTTTCAAACTTTTTTTTAACCTTGATCCACTTTGAGAATATAGATTTAGCACACAGCCCAATACACAATCTAATCTCTCTCTCTCACACACATTACAAAACTGAAACCAGAAGTATCACAAAACAATATTATCCTTACTACAGGGGATGCACTCCAACATTTTATATTCTATTTCTCTTCATTAAAAAATGTCAGTGTGACCTACTGAATTAAACTACTCTTGGAGCATAAATTAAATGAGTTTCAAACATCCTTTACTGGCATTCCTATAGAAACTTCTATACTATATTATAATAGGTGAAAGGCTGTTATTACTGTCTGGTATTCAGGTACTATTTAAAATATATATATCATCATTTTAGAGGTGGCATTTAGATGTGCAAATAATTCAATAGCTAGCCAGGTGCCATTTAGACATTTATAAATTTTAGAATTCTAATGGGACTTTAAGCTTAAACTTTATCAAATGCAGGAAGGAAAAGAGGTAGGATAATGAATATTTTATGCCTGAAAAGTTACCAAAATGTCTTAAGTGCATAATGTTTAATTTCACTGAAGTATTTCCTCACTCACCACTGTAAAATTAGGCAGAAACATTTACAAACTAACAGCATTTGTTTATGCTCAGGCTAAGAAGACTTTTACCTGTAGTAAACTCGAAGTGTCTGGATTTCTTCTTCCAGTGTTTTGTACTGTTGAACTGCAATTTCTTTGGCTTGTTGCATAGCTAACAACTTTGCCTGCAAGTAATTAATATTTTAAGAAAATTAATATTATTGTTGAACTGTAATTTCTCTGGCTTATTGCATGGCTAACAACTTTGCCTGCAAGTAATTAATGTTTTAAGAAAATTAATATTACTTTGGTATGTTAAAATACATTACTCTAGTATGAATGAGTCTTACATTTCTGGTGGTTTTAAAAAACATATCAGTATTTTTAATAGTGATTCCAATTTCCCACAAAACAACCTAATTTATATTAATAACACAAATACAAAGGCATATATTAAACTTACCAACTTTGCTTATTACTAAACTTCAACCTTTATTCATCTGTATCATCAGATACATGCTCTCTGCAATATTTAACTTTATACACAGAATTCAGAATGTGGAACATGGGTTCAGAGCAATATCTAGAGTAGAGATAAGCCCAATGGGTGTTTCACATACAAATTTAATGTGGCTCCACTGCCTGATCACACTAGATTTTCTTTTAACTTTATTAATAGTAAAACTCAGAAAATTTTAAATATGTTGTTAAGCCGTCTTTGATATTTAACATGAAAAAAGTACACAAGACTACAACCTGATTTTTATAGATATGATTTAACCTTTTCAATCCCCTTTCTTTCTTCAGAAAAAAAAATCTCTACAGGAAGTGTGGTAGCAATCTTAAATGTTAGAGATATTTTATTCAAGGGATGTTACAGTTCCTCTCTGCCTATGATATTCAACTCTTAAAGGGTCGGTAATAACTTTTATGATAGAGTTCAAACTAGTATATTTTTCTACCATCTACTCATCATTCCCATTGGATTTTAGGCATAGCCAAGAAGAGTTTTCAAAATAATTTTAAACTATGGTACTGGTAAGTCATGTTCCAGTTGTATTATTCAAAGTTTAATTTGCACAAAAGGTTATCTTTCATTTTAAATGATGTCTGATATACAGCACAGAGCAAATGTTACTGCACACCTCACAAAGTACACTAGTAGCAATAATTAAAATAGTTAATTAAATAACTAAAGTAGTTGAAAATCTGGAGGCAGAAGTTCATTAATTTTGCTGAACTTATATAATTTTACTGGAATTATTTGCTTGCATAAGAATGGAGACATAGGGTAAACTATAAGATTCTGATCAAAAGAAAACATTCTGATCATAGGAAAATTAGTGCAATACAAGTGAATATTAGACATTGCCACTTTTCTAGTTTAATAATGGAGAATAATAAAAACATGTGGCAATTCCAATCTCTGCATATGAATTTAGGCACTGAGTTAATTTGTTCTCAATCTAGGCTAGCAAATTCTAACAAAGAATTATTTTTAATTACACTTAAAATGTTTACTTGCTTTCACATGTCACCTTCTAGAATTATGATACAACATTCTCAAAAATTGTTAAAGATTTAAAATAAAAACAGACAGCTGGCTTTTGATGCCAATAATTGATAGCTTTTCCAATTTTCATTATACAGTAAAATGTGATTGACATGGTAAGCTGGAAGACACAGATACCCACTGTGACTAATAGCAAGTCAAAAGAAATACACCAAAAAAGGACGTCTTATTCAACTTAGAAAACATCAGACATCTTGTTGCACGTGTATGAGGAATATTGTACATTGGACAGGTAATAATTTGCCAAATAAATATGTGATAATACTAACTACCTTAAATGATCATTTTGAGGTTTTTTAAACTAGTACTTTGGCCAAAAACAAAACAAAACAGAACTCCACAACCAAAAAACAAAACCAATGTTTTGCAGGAAAATGCCATGAAGATTCTGCCAAAGACATTTCTGCAGTGAAAATGAGAATATGAGAACTTTACTTAAATTTCTGTGTAATAATTCAGGGAATATGAATATTTCACTTATCTTTCCACATTTAATTGGCAGTGAATATTTGGTGTTAATTCACAGAGAACCACCTAAGTTATTAATTCCAAATACCTGATCTTATGTCTAGGTTCTGATGACTATGTTCAAAGCTATTACAAACTATCTGGCCTTAAAACCTCCTTACTCTGCTTCATCAGGTATGTGCTTATCTGGCCAGCATTTCTTCTTGGGGGGGTACCCCTACCCTACACCATGATGATCCTGTTCAGTGCTGGTTGCTAGGATGAACTTCATTGCCCACTACTTTTGGTGTGTATGATCCAGGTTGTTGAGAAATAGAAGTCCGTCCCACTGGCACCAGAAGAAAACTGAATCCTCGTGACATCATTTGTACTCTTGGATCCCCATATGCCAGACAGACGTAGATCCAGTTCTTGGACTTCCCAGGTACATAAATTTTTTTCATTGGCTTTGGCTTATTTGAGTGGGATTTGTGTTCTATGTATTGTAAGAAAACTTACAATATTTTGTCATTGTCAAAAACTTACAATGATATAAATGTGCTGTTTCCTTCTAGTGCATTTCCTACTTTCATTGTTACTATCATATACTTACATCATTTAACAAGCCAAAAATAAATCTCATATCAAAAACATTAAGGAATTAGCAAACAGGCTATTTTTCCTGTTCCACTGGCATCCTAGTTTCCATATTTCTGGCAATTACTTTTATAAAACTGCACACATTCACTTACATGCATATTCACATAAAAATACATGCACATTAAAAAAATAACAGAATTCAGAGTGTAAGAAAAAATGCAATGCAAAGTAAATCTCCCATTCCCAATCATCAATCAGTACAAAAATCCTCTCTCCTGAAATTACCAGTTATCTGTTTATTGGATATCCTTCTAGAGATAGGTCTACGCATGTATATCTGCAACTAAATACATTGATTCAATATTAATGGCATTCTTTACACACTGCAATAAACCTTGTTTTAAATTAAAATATTTTTTGCTTATATATGTGTGTGTGTGTAAAAACACATTTATATAAAGCTTATATAGCTCAATCCATCTATCACACTCACTTGTCACACTCCCTTCCTTCCCTCCTAGCCCCAAAGTGAAACACTTCCATGAATATTGGTTCACCATTTGCAAGGATATTTTACACTTTTACTATATAGTTATGTACTTAGAGATGATGTATCTTATTATTTACAGGTTTTTAAATTTTATGTAAATGATTCTCTACATATTTCACAGACAACAGACAACTGCTTTTTTGGTTACTATTTTACTTTTGACTTTTATTCATTTGATAACATGTATCCATTCTGATAATACGTATCTTCACACATTGTGAAAATGTGCAAGACATTGGGATTATAGATATATCTGGACTTATTTTTACATATTTTTCATATTCAGCTCCTTTCTTCTTTCTCTTTTTTCCTCTACTTACAATGGATTTAATTTTTTATAACCACTTTGTTACCATACTGGTTAGAACCTATATATTTACATTCTATGTTGAAATTTCTGATAAAATTATTTAAAACTATTTTTGAGCAAAGCCTATAGTGAGTCGGGATTTCTATATATAATCATAGTTTTTGGTAAACATTTTACACAAATGTAACACTTTTTCTACTTATAGTCATATTTTTAGGTAGAATTTTTATTGCAGTAAATTATGCATGGCATACATATAAGTATACACATGCATGAATTTTTAAAGGGCAGCCTTACTGAGTTATGATCTAAACCAAGTAAAAATTCACCTGTATTCATTGTACAGTGTATGAATTTTGACAAGTTTATAGTGATGTAACAATCAGCACAATTAAGATATAGAACAATTCCATCAACCCAAAATGTTCCCTTGTGCACCAGTGCAGTCAGTGTCCTCCCATTACACACAGCATCTGACAACCACTTGTGATATTTATCCCTACAGTTTTGCCTTTTCTAGACTGTCATATAAATGGAATCATATAGTAGGCAGCCTTTTGATTGTCGCTTCTTTTACTTAATGTTTTGAGATTGATTTAATTTATTATATTTATCAGCACTTCACTTCATTCTTTTGTATCACTGAGTAAGTAGCACTAGTCCACTGAATGGATATATCACAATTTGGTTATCTACTCACCAGTTGATGGGTGTTTGGGCATTTCCAGTTTAGGGCAATTATTTATAAAGCTTCCATATCATCTGCATTTAGTTTATTTGGCAGAACCATGCTTTCATTTTCCTTAGGTACTATGGTAAATGTGTTTTTATATTCTTTATATACATGTAAAGTTATGTACTTTACAAGGCTATATATATTACAAAGAAACTGCCAAAGTTACTACCTAAATTGATGTCACTTTAAAACACCTGTGCTTAACTACAACAGCAATGTCACTTGTTTAATTTCTCCTATGGGCTGGGTATTGTACCAAGTACTTGAAATATGTAACTATAGTCTATCCTCACAGCCAATCTATAAGATGACCCCTACTATCCCTGTTTACAGATGATAAAGCTGAGGTTTATGGATAGACATGAAGCAACTTGTAAATATAACAGAGTTAGTGACTGACAGACCTCAAATATAAATTCAGACCTGTTTGGTCCAAAATATGTATTTCCCCCTTACATCATACTATACAATATTCTGCGCTATGTATATATAACATACTCTGTTAAAGAGAACTATATATGTGTGTGTGTAAAAACACATTTATATAAAGCTTATATATGTAAATCAACCTATATTCTTAAAAACATGTTACAGACAAAAAAGAATATTTACTCAGGAATTTGAAAAAAACACAAATGTGTGGGTTTACAAGCACTGTTAGTTTATAAATGTCACAGCCACACTTGCAGGGGAAAGGACAAGCAGAGATGTGTCAGGTACTCTTGAGCATGCCACCTTTTTATGTTTGGTTTGAATGTGTTTTTAATAGTAATACTCTGATATAGTTAAGCCTTCCTTTGAAAACTCCAAGAGCAATAATGGAAATCTGTTTTTATCAGAGACAGAGGCATTAATCTTGTGTGTGATATCTGCTAAATAAAGACACATACAGTACAAATTAAATCATAGAACCATATCACTTTAGGCCTGAAAAGGATCTTAGAAGTTATATAGTCTTCTACCTTTATA